AAAAAAAAAAAAAAAAAAAAAAAAAAAAAAAAAAAAAAAAAGGATGTTGACAAAAAATGGGTTAAAACAATTTAAGTGCTGGAGAAAGATTCTGGTTTAGCATCATCGTCTTTGGAAACCAACCATGGGAGAGGAAACAGCTGGGGGAGGGAGAGGCATCCCCATCAGGGACCTTCCACGAGCATCCTTTCCATCTCCTCAATATAAAACACACCAAGGGCCGGAGTCTTCAAAAAAGTTGAGCACCCGACAGCTCCCATGTAGGCACCACATTTTGCAATGAAAGCTACTGGGCACTCAATACTGCTGGAAGGGCAATCGCTTTGCCCAGATATCCAAATGAGAGTTGATCTCCTGGTCCTTGGTGTACAAGGCTTTTAAATAATCCCTCTTCCAAGCATGCCCCCTGGCCACCAGAGCCCATACATTTCCCAGAAGAAATGTTCTTCTTACAAAAGGTAACCTGCAAAGGGAAATGTAACTGGATGGGTCTACTTGCTTCTTTCAAAGGATTGCTTCAAAAGCATTTCCTCCTCATTAGAAAGTCAGGTCTCGACCGCCCAGATTTTCCTGGAAGACTGTGGCTGTCAGGAGAACGGCGGGGATTGTGACAGATGTGCCAGGCAAGAGGAACTGTCAGCAGATCCAATCTGGATTGATTTTTAAATTTAAAAACACTCAGCTCAACAGGTGTGGGGTTAAAATAAACATCTGGACAAGCTGTTAGACACCGTCTCCGATGAGCCGAAAAATGGGTCTGTTGTATCTATAAAAAAAACCCAGTGTTTTCACAAGCCCGTGAGAGAGTTAAGTACCAGATTTGTGCTGAATAGCAAAAGGCGACTTTTGGCTATCCGGGACATAGAAAATCTTCCCCTCTTAAGAGAAAGCAAAGCTCATATGACATGAATCCTCAAAAGCTGTCAACTGCTAGAAGTCCGATGACCTCAATGAGTCCAGAGATCTTCAACAAACCCTCTGGCAAGAAAATGAAAGGAAAACCAGGCTTGACATCCCTGATCTTTCTTAGGGCAGCACTGAAGCTTCATTGCCCTTCAAAGCAGCAAAAGAAAACCAACCCAGTACATTTCCCTTTGGAGGCCCCTTTCAGGAGTGCCAATTAAACAAAAAAAAAAAGAAGAAAGAAGAAGTCTCACGAGTGGGAACTGGGGAAAACTTTTGTTTGCCAACAAAAATCCTGGAAAACCCAATAATCCCCTTCCCAAGATCCTTAAAAAAAGCTGCAACCTGCAGCATTACAATAGCTTTCACAATACCAGCTCAAGGCATCACATACTGTACATCATTCAAGTATTTCTTAATATAAGACAACAAGGAATTATCTACAACTGATAAAAACAAAAATAAGCTCTAAAAAGTAACAACATACAATCAAGATGGATTGTTGAAGAGGGTTTCAGAGTACTGCAGCCTGCTTTGAGGTGTGGGACCCCCACCCCTTGCTTCCAATGCAGCTCTCCCCCAAATCCCTTTGTCACCCCAGAGTCCTAGAAGCAGGTGAAGCAGGCACCCGCGAGAGAGCTCATGTGCTGGAAATCCCAAGTGAGAAGAAGTGTTGGTTTTGGAGCTGGATGTTTCACTTCCCAACAAAATGAAACTGCTTGTGCCGAAAAGATCAGCAGGGGTCACGATTCACATTCCCCTCCCTCACCAAAGCATCATCCAGATCCAAAAGCACAAGGATTACTTTATCCCTGCATTACTCACAATCACCCTCCTAAATGAACAAAACATGTATTGCATAGTATTGCTGTCAGCAGTCTTCAAAAACACAGGACTTCCTTCTCAGAGAAAGTATTGAGCTTGACTTGAGAATTCGGGGGAGAAGGGCTGGGCTCTACTCAAAGCAAAGGCTCCAGTAACTTCCAACTGTGCCCATGATACAAGCTTATGGCTGCTTTTAACATATAAAGATTGAAGCATCCAGTTTTGGAGAGGGGGGGAAGGGGGGAGACCACCGATTAACAGGGGCGCATCTTCCCCACAGCCAGCTTGGATTTGGAGGCCAGAATCTTTGCTCCAGGAGATGCAGGGTCGGGAGGAGATCAGAAAGAAGCCACTCATTTTACCCACTCCGCTAGCAGGTGGGTTGAACCCAGTGGTGTTACTCCCTATTTGTGCTGGTGCAACAGGAGGCGAGCCAAGCCCAATGCTTTGCAGCTTCGATTCGAAGCGCTGGGCACGCACGCGGCCTCCACCAAGCCACACACATCCTCCACCAACCCGCTTCTGGTGGCAATGCTTCTGGAAGAGGAGGTCCATCATACTCAAAAGGAACAAGCAAGTGAAGGCAAGGAGCCCCAAGCTGGCCTGAACCAGGGACAAGCAAGTGAAGGGAAGGAGCCCCAAGCTGGCCGCAACCAGGGCAGTGGACTGAGACCTCACAATAAATGGAAGCACAAGATATTTCAATGAGAGGATGGTTTCTGCATCTCACCTAGGGCCCCTGTCGTGGCATGACCAGCAGCCTTTTCCCAAGCCCAGGCCAATCAGTTGGAAAGTCCTGTTTTTACAGGAATTTTTTCCTCCCCGTACCCAAAGACCAAAAGCAGCCTGCAGATGGAGTGGTGAATTAGAGCCCTGATACCCTCCTCCATGACTCTACTTTAGACCTCAGAGGGAGGTCCACTGGCCTGACCCGTTTCTTTTTAGGTTCCTCCACCCAAAAACTCAACGTCTACACACCCAGAGCCTTTCTTGAGTCCATTCTCCCCTGCCACTCCAGCCTTCAGGTATTAGTGTTACATTCCTCCTCCTGCTAGCACACAGTCCGTCAAGCCCAGAGCCTGAACCTGCTTTAGCATATGGGCACAGACTTGCCCATCACACCCACCACGTTGGTGAAACATGACTGCATGAATCCACCTCTCCGAGGCAATCCTCTCCATTCAGTTGTTTCAGCCAAGTCCCAGACAGATTTCTATATCCGCTTAAGACCTGAATTGTGATCACACCTCAATTCACATCTCCTCCCCTGTGAAGGGGAACCCTTGGTAAGATCAACCAAGGCATGGCATCCACATAAGCAACACGGCCTATGCTGAAACATCTCTTTATATTCACTTCTGCCTCCCCAAGAAGCAGAGGCACCTCCAACTCAGATTTCCATTTCAGATCCTACTGCTGAAGAGTCAGTTCACTGCCCTGGAGCACTTCTGGAAAGCAAGCGCATTTTTTCTTTTTAGAAAAGCACCATATTGCAAATAAAGGGGTTTTGCCAGCCACACTTGCATTATCAAAAAAAAAAAATCAGGAGTCTGGAGCCCATCCTGCCACTAGTGAGTCCAGCCATTTTTAGCCATTTCCCCAAAGGAAGTTAATATCTGCTGGAGATCCATCACCATCACCTTCTGCACAAACACACACACACAAACAACACATGTGCACTCCCACCCCTCAGATAAGGCTGAGTCCTGCTCCCACCAAAGTCCAAGGCAACGCCTCCTTGGAGGTCAGTGGTGCAGAATCAGATCTGAAATGCAGAGTTACTTCCTAACTCTGAACATTAACATTTCAGAAGCCTGGGAGAGATTCGGTTTTTTCCCCCCTTTTGAGCTGTAACCTGGCAAACTATCTAACCCCCAGGAAGTATCTGGCAGGTACAGCTCAGCTTCCACCCCAAGCCTAGAAGACAGGGCAGGAACAAGGGGAGCAGAGGAAGACATTTCTAAATGCCCAAATCAAGCAAGATTTGCTTTTGCAATGAGCAACTAGGCTGTTTAAATTTTAAAAAAAAACAACTAAAACTAAAAAAGTGGTTTAATAGCTTACTCAGGAGCAGGGAGCAGAGCTGAAATCCAAGCAGAGAGGAAAAAAAGTCACACTTGGCAGAACAGGTCTCTGCTCCCTTTGAGTCACAAATCCATCTGCCAGCACAATGCTTTTCTCCAAAGTTCAGGCCCAATCCTGTACAATGCTGAGCGCCCCCAGCTCCTGAGTACTTCAGCCAGAGCCAAGGGTACTTCATCCCCAGGACCAGAGAACATGCCTTTGCCATCACATCCCCTTCCAATGCCAGGGGACCACCATGCAATGCCAAGCAGAGACTATCTACACCAGCTAATTCCTAAATGATGGTTTGTCAGACTTTCTCCCTTAAAACAAGAGAAATACTGCAATGTTTCATTGCGTTTTGGAGTCAACACAGCATGGGAAGGGGTGGGGGAAATATGCTCTTGAATTCAAGACTATCCGTCTCCCTACCCCTCCCTTCTGAGAGGCCAGATGCATGGAGAATCCTCTCGCTAGGCTATTAAAGATCAGTCCAATTCAGCTTTGGAATGAATTTGTGTTTAAAAAAAAAAAAAAAAAAAGTCAAGACAGAGCTACCCATGGTTGAATCTACCAAGTCCAAATCCAGGGAGAAACCTGCAGCAAAGTAGGAAAATAAAGGTTAAAATGCTACTTTTGTTTTTCCTGTTGCTGTTGAAAATATGACCAAGGGTCTTTTTTTTTTTTTGTCTTTTTTTTCACAGTATGAAATGAGCTGAAGTCGTAAAAGCATCCGCATATACAAATAGTCCTTTGGTGTAGAAAAAGAAAAAAAAAGGAGAAATCAAGAGTTGAGAGAGAGAGAAAAAGAGAGAGAGAGAGAGAGAGAAAAGAAAAATCATCTATCATCTGGTTCAATGTCCTTGAATGTGCCCTGGGTGAAGGAACCTCACGCTTGACTTAATACCTTTTTTTGTTTATAAAAAACAAAAAAAAAGAACAAAAACCCCAAAACAGATTTACAAGATCAGCGTAACCTTGGAAACCAGCCAATAGGAGAGAGTCCTGATCTTGTTGCTAGCTAGCAACAGCATTTCAAAAAAACAAAAAGACATACAGATACAGCACATACGTATATACAGAGAGCAGGGAGCAGCGATGGCAGGTGATCACGCTTGGTCACCCACCAGGACCAAGGGAGCGACCAGGTACTGGTTTGCAGCCACCCCTTTAGTCATGCTGCTCTTCTGCCTCCGTTTGGCCAGCTTGGACTCCGAAGGGGGAGACAGCTGCATCGAACGTGAGGTAGCTTTGATGATGATTGGTCGGGCCTCCTCCTTCTCCTCGTCCTCGTCATGCTGCATCAGCTGGCGGTTGACAGCAATGGCCTCGGCAGCGAAGGAGGTGAGCTCTTTGGCACTGCTGTTCCTGGAGGGGAGACAGTGGGGAGGCGAGGCGGTCAGGGGGAGGTCAGCGATGGGCTGCAGATGTCTGCGCTCCCAGCCGTGTCCCAGCTGCCGGGGACAAAGCAGGTGCTGGGCTCTGGGTGTTTCAGACAGGATCTGTTCTCGTGCTATTGTTTCTCAACAAAAGGACTCTGGGTCCCTTCAGCTCCTTGAGCCAGGGCAGGGTCGGGTGCAAAGTGTGCAAGCTTTACTGCCACACTCATGGGGCGCAGGGGGCTGGAGAACTGATCAGTGCCGTCAGCATCCGCAGGCAGCTGTTACCCCGACCCAGGTCCGTCTCCTTGATTGCCCTGAGTCGGTCTCCAGACCACCCCAGCGTCTTGCTCTCCTGCAGCCTTGTGCTTGGCTGGGACCTGGGATTCCCGCATATAGGAGCCTGCTTGTGCCCCCTCATCAGCCCAGCGGAGGCTAGCAACTGTAAGACAGCCACACAGCCCCCTCCAAGGAATGCAGCGCCTTACTGCACCTAACAAGAACAAGCCTGGTCAAGACCAAATCCCTGCTAGTCTCTCCCAGCCAAATGGCAGAGGTCACCAAACATGCCCTGAAGTGCTACACTGCTATTGCAACAGTGACTGCGCAGCTTCCTGGTCTCCTGCATGCGCAGCAGAGCTGAACACAACCAAGGGAGGTGGTTCCACAATGCCCCGACCTCAGCACGGGCAGCCGACAGATGCACTCACCTCTGTAAGATGATGGGGGTTGGAAGGGTGTTATCTGGTGCACACTGAAAAAAAAAAAATCAGAGAAAATAGCGATTTAGAGCCAGGCAGTGAAGCCCGTCTCATGAGCAGAGGTGCGAGTCCAGTGCCCTCACCAGGTGGGCAACAAACATCAAGATTCATGATCCTGCCTCCTGTGAAGTGGGGCCGTCCTAGAAAACTGCTAGTCCAGCAACAGGGGTGTTAGCTTGGGTCAGAAGAGACAAGCATTCAAGTCCCTGCTCTGCCATGGGTTTCTTATGTGGCCTTGGGCAAATCACGTAGCCTCAGTGCATTTCAGGCCCTCGCTGGCAAAGAAGGAATGACAGCAGTGCCCTGCTATACAAGGGTGCTGTGACAAATCAACAGGTTAAAGACCACAAGGCACCCAGATGTTATAATAATAGGGCCAGTGAAGTACCCAAGACATATCTGCATCTTGCATTAGCAAAGCTTCATCGTTTAGGGTGGCTCAGTCAATCTAACTTCTTTATTATGAGACAGGGACAATCTTGTGGTAAAGCCAGGATCAGGAGTCCTGAGATCCCGGTGCTAGCCTTGTTCTACTGCTGACCACTGTTCCCTCAGGGGAGCAGGAGGCTGATGGTCAAGCACGCCGAGAGCTCACAGGGAAGGAAGGGGAAGGAGACAGGCGAGGACTCTTAGAAAGCCACACAGGAACCTCTTGGGACATTCCTCAACTGTGCCTTCTGCATGAATAAGGCTCTTGCAGAAGCCACCAGAGCCAAGATACTGGAGAAAGGCAGCACTCACCCCTTGCACCCAAGGATGCTCCAGGACTTGGGCCGCACTGAGCCGTTTCTTGGCATCTCTAACCAGCAGCTTGGAAATTAGGTCTTTGGCTCCAAAAGAAATGTGGGCCCAGTCCTTGTCAGGAAATTCATACTTCCCTTCCTGGATACTCTCGAATAGCATGTTCTGGAGGAGAAGAGGGAAGGGATTCAAGTTCATTTTTTAGAAGAAACAAGTGTTTATTTCGGTCTGGTCAGACCTAGGACGTGGCCTCTCCCCTGGGGATTGGGAGATCTGAAGCTATGCAGAGAATCAGCAGCCTCCCCAGCCCTGCTGAGAGGTATCTGCATGTAGGGGATGAAGATGCCACAGGTACAACAAAACCTGCCCTAGGCGGCCAGCGAGACTTAGTGCCTAGGAGAGACGGCTCTTCAACCAGTGGAAGCCACGGGGGGATACTTCAATACCCTGGGTAAGGACTAGCTGACCTCTGGAGGTCCCTTCCAGCCCGACTTCTCTATGAGTCTAGCTGGAGGGATGTGGCGAGTGCTGCGAGCCCTGCAGAGCAGTGACCTGCTACTGGGGGTAGCGAAGGGAGTACAGTGCTAGCAGAGGGCTGCAGTCAGCCCCAGCTCACCTGACAGGTCTGGCACGCTTCACCACGGTCCCAGCCGCAGTCGGTGCCGCAGTGGCCCACGAAGGGCGGGTAGCCACTCAGCATGATGTACAGGATGACACCCAGGCTCCACAGGTCGCAGCGCTTATCATAGATGGAAGCCTCCTCGTTGAAGGCCTCCACCACTTCAGGAGCCATGTACTCTGCTGAGCCACACTGCGGAGAAAGAGAGCAGGGCAAAGGTTACTCAGTCAGGCCCTGGCTGCTGGGTCTACTGAACAGTGAAGGGCAAACCCAGACTGCAGCTGCCCCATGCTATTTGGGCACCAAAGCTCAGTCAGATGTTAATGAACTAAGAGCTCCAGCTTCAAGCCCCATGCCTGGGAGGTTGCAACCCAAACACCAGTGACTCATGATTACTGGCAGCATGAGAACCCAGCTGAGCTAACTCAGGCAGCCTGAGCCCAGGGCCTACACAGCTGTCCCCACCCTAGACAAGTACTGTGAGATCAGCCCTCGGGAACCAGCAGGTGAGGCCTCAGGTGGATGAGAAACATCAGCAGAGAGGAGTTGCAGCACTCTCCCTCGCTACACCCGGCTCCAAACCCTGCAATCAGTGGACAATATTGCCTGAAGGCCAAGTCCACCCTAATGCATAATAATACTAATCATATTCATAACAACAACAATAATTACACTTGAGCCAGCGGTGAAGCAAGGCCCAAGCAGGCCACTCTGCACCAGCCAGAAGCAACCTGGGAAAGAGGAAGGAACATCTGTGCTGAAGGGAAGATGGAAAAAAACCGCTGAAGAGTGCAGGGCACCAGATCTCTGTGCCTACAGATCTGAAGGGCAAAGCTCTTGGCCAAACACTGGGATTCTCCCCCGGCTAAAACAGCAGACGTTTACTTGAAGGTCATCGATGGGCTCCCACAGCTCTAGATTAGAGGCATAGAGTGATGCAGCATCTCAGGACCTCTTGAAAAACTACTGTATCTTGTTCTCCAGACCCTTCAATCACACTTGTAAACACAAGCCTCTAGGTCTCAAGATTACCTCTGAAGTCTCCAAAGCAAGTATGCACACATATGCACGCACAATCCCAACCCGTCTGCTGTCCACACTAAAGACAAGCAAGTGGAAGAGGAAACTCATAGTTTCATAGTTTCTAGGGTCGGAAGGGACCTGAGCAGATCATCTAGTCCGACCCCCTGCCATGGCAGGAAGAGCACTGGGGTCAAATGACCCCAGTAAGGTGGTCATCCAACCTCCTCTTAAAAACCCCCAGGGTGGGAGCCTGCACCACCTCACTTGGAAGCTGGTTCCAGACTCTAGCCGCCCTGACCGTGAAGTAGCGCCTCCTGATGTCCAACTTAAACCTTCCCTCCGCCAGCTTGTGACCATTGTTCCTGGTCACTCCTTGCGGCGCTCGGGGGAACAGGGACTCCCCCAGCGCCTGCTGATCCCCCCTAACCAGTTTATAACAGGCCACAAGATCCCCCCTCAGCCTTCTCTTTTGAAGGCTGAACAGGTTCAGGTCCCGCAACCTTTCCTCATAGGACCTACCCTGCTGTCCCTTGATCATACGAGTGGCCCTCCTCTGGACCCTCTCGATGCTGTCCACATCCCTCTTAAAGTGCGGCGCCCAGAACTGGACGCAGTACTCCAGCTGCGGCCTGACCAGTGCCGCATAGAGGGGGAGGATCACCTCCCTGGACCTGCTCGAGATGCATCTGTGGATGCACGACAAGGTGCAGTTGGCCTTCCTAGCCGCCTCCCCACATTGCCGACTCATGTTCATCTTGGAGTCAATAATGACTCCCAGATCCTTTTCCACCTCCGTGCTGACAAGAGGGGAGTTCCCCAGCCTGTATGTATGGTGCCGATTGTTCCTCCCCAGGTGCATCACCTTACACTTGTCTGTGTTAAACCCCATCCTATTCTCCTCTGCCCATCCTTGTAACCTGTCTAGGTCCAACTGTAGCCTGTTGCTCCCCTCTATTGTGCCCACATCCCCCCACATCTTGGTGTCATCAGCAAACTTGAACAGGGTGCTTTGCACCCCCTCGTCCAAATCACTGATGAAGATGTTGAACAGGGCGGGCCCAAGGACCGAGCCCTGTGGGACCCCACTTCCCATGTCCTTCCAGGTCGAGAAGGACCCATCCACTACCACCCTCTGGGTGCGACTCTCTAACCAGTTGGCGACCCATTGGACTGTACAACTCGGTACAAGGCTGCCAAGAGCTGTGGGGCTTCAGCTGCAGGCTCACAGGGAGACAGCCCAAAGCAAACTTTCTGCCCTTTGGGACCTTCTTTCCAAAAAAAAAAACAGACTTAGGCAGAAGATAATGACCAGGACCTATAAACAGCCCCAGTTTTCCTGGAAGGGCTGTAAACAGGGTCTCCTGGGATCCAAGCACGCCAACAAAGAACAGGAGCACGCTACATGGCTCTGAGACCGCCCCGTGGTCCGAGGGGAAAGGAGGCACACGGCAAAGACACCCAGGTGCCCTGACGGAGACAAAGGATGCATCAATTCGGTCCCTGGACACGGTCTGGAATTAGTGAGCAGTCTTAGACTTGGTTCTCTCGCCAGCTGTAAGTCAACCCCATGCACACAAAGACAGGCCACAAGCTAGCTAAGCTACCTTGAGGTCCAACCCCATGACCGCAGTAATGGAGCATCTCCCCAGAGCAAGTGAAGCTCAGGTAGTATTTGACCTGATGATACAGGTGAGGAAACCGAGGAGCAGAAGGAAAATGACTTGCCCAAGGACATCTACAGCAGAACTGGGAAATCAAAGCCAGATCCCAAGTTGCTGCCCACTTCCTGAACCACAAGCTCGGCCCTTCCTCCTCTCCTCAAACTACTTGTGCCTGCTTGTTACAATTCGGATCAAGTCACAGAACGTTTCTGGCAGGTTTCATGCCTCAGCTCTACCCCCAGCGGGTGCTGCGCTGGCGAGGCCCGACTTTCCACAAAAGATCATCTTGCCCATCCCATCCGTGCCCAGCCCTTCTCCCTGAAGTTAGCACCTTCCTTTTGCAGGCTCCTGCTGCCCTCCTGACTACAGCAAATGGGGAGAAGGGAGGAGAAGCAGCCACCCAGTGGGCACATCTACAAGTTCATTAATGCGCATTAAATCTAGTACCTCCATGGTGAAAAGAATGAATATTAGCCTATTTTAATGCACATTAGCAAAACAGCATGTTTTCTGTGATGCTTTAATGCGCATTAGAATAAGTTAATATGCATTAAAGTGCACATGTAGACGTGCCCAGTGTCATGTATATGAAGTTGTAGGCTGCTACAAATGACACCAGGATCAGGAATGGACAGATGCACAACTATCCCAGGGTAGCTCACACAGTAGGTGGCAACGACAGCACCTTCGCCTTTAGCAAAGGAGCAGGCCGATAGGAGCAGACAGTGGCACAGCTTGCACAGGAAGATTTTACCTCCGATTCTTCAGAGTAATTCTCCAGCAGCTGGGGCAGAGTTATCCTGGCTTAAAGGTCTGCCTTGTCAGTCTACTCGTCCTCCCCACCCCCCGTGTAAATATTCCCACCTCGAGGTGCTCTCCACAGTGGAGCAGCGGTTGTAGGAAAACGCCCAGCGTCCCTCATGCAAGAATCAGATGTCGGAGATGGAAGAGCTCCGCTCTCCCACGTGATCCCTCCACCTGATCGCCCAAAGGTGGATGTCACCGACGTGGCAGCTTGGATCACGCAGCCCTGCGGCACCCTCGCCAGGACACAAAGCCTTCAATATACTGACGAGGACAACACACCCTGCCCAGGGAGGGGACGAGGTTCCCTGCAACAAGCTCCTGGACTGGAAAGACAATCCTGTTCCACCTGTTCCCACAAATGGGCCAGGCTGGCCGGCACCGGGGAGGCCGCGGCTCTGGCCACAGCCCAGCGCTTTGCTGTCACGGGGGACGCAAAGCCTCTATCTCAAGGGCAGATCAGGCAGCTCGTAGCCGACAAAGGGACAAGGCTGGTAGGGCTGCTCCTGGCACCCAGCGGGCACCACAATTCAGCGCAGCAAGCGGCCCCGGGGCCGGCACGCTACGGTGGAGACGGAGCAGGAAGCGGAGGAGTTAACCAGCTGATGTAACCAGAGCTGCAGATGTCTGCAAGGCCTGCTTCGCTGCGGCCCATCCCCCCCGCCCTCCATCCCTGCCAGGGATTGTCTGGGGCTTTCCAGCTCACGTGACCCATCAGCCCACACGGGCCTTGTGACGAGAGAAAGAAAACCGCCAGGATCAGATAATCGCCTGTGTGTCAGGAGAGGCCTCGGCAGCACAGAACAGCTGATGCCACAGAAAAAGGGGGGGAAGAAAAAACAAAACAACTCTCCCAACCGTGAGCCCCAGGCAAAGCTGCAGCCACTGCTGGCACTTGGCCTTGGGGCCCAGACCAGCTCCCTACCCCCCCCCACCGCTCCCCCTTTGCAGAGGAAATTGAAAGCAGAACTTCCTGCCGAGAAGCTGCAGTGGAGGTGGTATAAATGGCACCGGGGGGGGCGGCAAATGCAAAGCAGAGCACTGAGCAGCGCCGAGCGCGCAGGGCCCAGCGATGCCAGGGAGTTTCCCCACGGGGACTGGGTGGATTCAGGATTAGGCGGCACGGAGCAGCTTGCTCGATTCCCACCCCCACCCAGCTTCCCCAGCTGGGCGGCTCGTCCAAGTTGGCGCCCCGATCCCAGCACCCGCTTCCCCATGCAAGCGTTGCATCAGCCTCAGCACGTGAACCCGACCTGACCCCCGCACCAGTAAACACCAGGGTGTGGTGGCAACACCCCTGATAGCTGAAACTTCTGCTCCCGCCTGATAAGGCCTCGCTTCCCAGGCGCCTGCCTACATGTAGCTGGCGGCGTTTGCACAGGCAAGCGAGATCCGGCAAGTCCCCTGCTCATGCTGCCGGGGGGGGCTTCGGACATCCATGCACCCAGCTGCTCAGAGCCTGGCTCAAGGCAGCGGCTGCAGATCTGAGCCGAGAAAAGGTGGCAATTCCCTTGGTGGCAATCTCCAGCCTGCATTATAGAGGGGATGGGACCAGATCCACAGGACCCAGGCCCTTTTGGCCTTAAAAGTCTGACCTGACAAGAGACATCTCTGTACCTATCCCCCCCACACAATGCTGCCGTGAAAGCCCTCCCCCACGCACCCCCACGTCCCCGCATCTGACCCACTTCTGCAAGCTTACACGGGGAAGAACAGCTCCCGCCCTCCCTTGCCTCCTCCCCCACCGCCAATAGGGCCAGCTGTTGCTAGGGCTCGATTTTAACTTATCAGCGCTGGCCTGGCAGTGTGCCACCCCCTCACCGCCCCCCCCAACTTAGAAGCAGCTAATGAGCAGCCACGCGGGGCTTACTAAAGAGCATTATGTAACCCGAGTCTCCCTTTCTAGAATGCACTCCCGCCTGCAGAGGCTCCAGGAGCCATGAATAATGCAGCAGGCTGCTGAGGACTGGAGCCCCGGAGCCTCCTGCAAGGCCCTCGGGCGGTGAGCCGCGTCCCGAGCACCTGGTGGGCTTCCCGCAAGGGGCGCCTGTAATGCCAGCCTGCTCCATGGTGGGCAGAGGCCCTCCCCGATGCCTTCAGGGCTTCCAACCACGGAGCTTCCCCCTTTCCCATGGTTGTGGGGGGCTTACAAGCTCTGGTTTTCCAACACCCGCCTTGCCCGGGGCTCTTTCCTCAGCCCCGCAGCCATCCCTGCAGACCTCTCACCATAGCCTACAGAAGCAGCCCAACCCCAGGTCCTCAGGCTAAGTGAGGGCTGACTCTTCCAGCTAACCTCATGCCGCGCTGTGCCTCGAGTTCCCAGGGCCCCTCCAGACAACCCCCCGCTGGATGCTCTCTCTTCGGGGTGGAAAACAGCAACAGGAATCTGCTGGAGCTGAGCCAGCCCTGAAAAGGCCTCTGCATTCCTGGTGCAGGCCAGTCAAAGTGGGAGGGATCGCAAATGGAGCCTTGTCTAACAAGTTCAACCAAGACTAAAAATAACCGCCTGCGAACGCTGGTGCCAGAGCAGAGGCGGGTCCAGAAGTCC